CTGCGGGCGGCTGACACCTGTACCCGATAAGTGTGGCATAGTACAAAACATGGACTGGACCCATGGACTGGACCCAAAATTGGACCCAAAATGGGACCCAAAATTGGACACAAAATTGGACTCAAAATTGGACCCAAAATTGGATTCAAAATTTTAGCCAAAATTTTGCCCAAAAATCCATTATTTTATCGGAGAGAAACAACCCTCAGAATATCGTGCTATGATTTAATTTGTATAGGCAAAAAACTTCACGTTCCATCACTTTTCCTTGACCTATCTACGTCCCATCACTTTTCCTTGACCTATCTACTATCTAGCTATTTGTCTCCCAAAATTCTATATTCTATTTTCTAAACGTTATCTAGGGTATCTCGTAAATAACAAACCTTTGTGAAATATCGTTGCGCAATGGTCACAAATACATCACATCGATATAAATCATTCCATCAATATACACAAATAATTTTAATTATATACATTTTGTGTCTGTATAATACGCCCTCTATATATTCCGGCATATATATCCTCTAACGAGTAACGAGTTCGCAAAGTTTGTTTTGTCCATATATTCTAATATTTATTGCAACTAGCTATATGTGGGCTTATCATTATGCACATATTGTATCCTATATCTGATGATGGTTCTGAAATAGAATTGAAACACTGCGCGTCCTCTAAGACAAGCGTTAAGTCGTCACGAAAATATTTCGTGCACTTGGACAAGACTCGCTACCATTACCAATCCCTGTTGACTCGATAGCTCAATAGGTAGAGCGGCGGTCTAGATACTCGAAGATGCGAGTTCAAATCCCGCTCGAGCCAACGAATTTTTCGTTGGTCGATTGCAGTGCCAGATTAAATATGAAACTAGTATCTCTGAGGATGGTTCTGAAATACAATATGTGCATAATGATAAGCCCACATATAGCTAGTTGCGATAAATATTAGAATATATGGACAAAACAAACTTTGCGAACTCGTTACTTGTTAGCTAGGATATAGATGCCGGAATATATAGAGGGCGTATTATACAGACACAAAATGTATATAATTAAAATAACTATATATTGATATATTGATGGAATGATTTATATCGATGTGATGTATTTGTGACCATTGCGCAAAGATATTTCACAAAAGTTTATTATTTACGAGATACCCTAGATAACGTTTAGAAAATAGAACTGATATAGAATTTTGGAAGACAAATAGCTAGATATTAGATAGGTCAAGGAAAAGTGGTGGAACGTGAAGTTTTTTGCCTATACATGCAATTAAATCATAGAACGATGTTCTGAGGGTTGTTTCTCTCCGATAAAATAATGGATTTTTGGGCAAATTTGAGTCCAATTTTGGGTCCAATTTTGAGTCCAATTTTGAGTCCAATTTTGGGTCCAATTTTAGGTCCAATTTTGAGTCCAGTCCATGGGTCCAGTCCATGTTTTGTACTATGCCACAGGATTGAACAATGTTTTCCTGCCCACGTTGTTCACATTTGTCAACAATATTGAACAATATTGTTGAGCCTGAATCGGGTGTAACTCAATATTGTTCAATAGTGTTGACAACTATGAACAATGTGGGCAGCAAAGCATTGTTCAATCCTGTTTTCAATTTGTTTTCATCAGTATTGCAACAACCACAGGGTGCCCGACTACGACTTATTTATTTATCAATATCTCTGTATGAAAATGGGTATTAATGCTCTGTATATTTTTATTTATCAATATCTCTGTATGAAAATGGGTATTAATGCTCTGTATATTATGGACATATTCTCTATACAGTTATATTAAAGCGGTCAGTGCAGAAACGCGCGGGAATACAGTTATATCAAAGCGGTCAGTAGACGAAACACGCGGAAGCGAGGAACGCGCGCGCGAAAAATAAGGGAAAAGAGGAAAGGGTTGAAACATTGACGAGCCACTGATTAGTGTGTTAAAATATACGCGATCGTGATCTTGTTTTGGAGGGTGTAGATAAAAGGCGGACGGATAAAAAGCGGACGGCGGACGACGGAGCATTTTAGATACACATGATTACTACGGCAACTAATTATAATACCCTAAATTAAAGTATACCAGCCTTAGATCTGTGAAATGGATATGTTTTCACCCGTTCGAATTTTTAGCAATGGAATTTTTTAATCAGCATTCAATACGTATATAATACGTATGTATGATAGGAGGAACTAGGTGAAACTTTTGGAAATTTTGGTGCTTCTGTATATAACTGCCCTAACAATGCCATTGAATTAAAATATTATTAGGCGGGGCTATTACATGACATTCACTTGCTGTCATTTTTATATTTTAAATTGTGCGGCTTATAATCCCGTTTATTTACTAAAAGGCTAACACGTAGCCAAGGTCCATTCATGTGAGTGCTTACACATTACTATTTCACTGTATATAAATGTAGAACGAAATTATAACCTTCCCTAAGCCCTTCAAATATACATATAATAGAATATACAATATTTACGCTGCCCAACTTACGTTGCCCAAGTTGACATTACACATATATACATTTTTCAAACAGCTTATTACACTGATTACTGTGTGACATTGACATATATATATATATATATATATATATATATATATATATATATATATATATATATATATATATATATATATATATATATATATATATATATATATATATATATATATATATATATATATATACATATACATATACATATATACATACATATATATATATATACATATATATATACATATATATATACATACATATACATATACATACATATATATATATATATATATATATATATATATATATATATATATATATATATATATATATATATATATATATATATATACATATATAATATATATATATATATATATATATATATATATATATATATATATATATATATATATATATATATATATATATATATATATATATATATATAACTCAATATAGTTAAAGAAATGACAAAAATATACAATTGTAAATATATACAATTGTGAATGTTTGCAGGTCTCTTAAATCACGACCCATAGCCTATACTCAATACCTACTACCTATATGTGCCCACGAAATAAAAAAAATGTTCAAGAGCCTTGAACGGCAGAAAAATATCGAGCAGCATTGGGAGGTTTAAAAAGTTATTGGGCTCATTGAAAATCCACCTCATCAAATTGTCCGCCCCTAATGCATATTATTATATGGCTTTTCAAAATTCTCTATTCTGATTGGTTGACAAGCGCTCCGTAAAAACCCATATCCGGACCGTGGTCCGTATTTTCCGTATGTGGACCGGTGTCCCGGATGTCGTTTATCTGGCGGGAAATTTTTGCTTTGCAAACAGAAAAAAAAATTACTTTTCAAAATTTCCAATTGTGCTTTACAGATAAAAATTTCAAATAACCAAATTGTTTTTGATTGAGCATGCATGCCTACGGTATATATTGTTACCCAGTGAAACTGACGATAGCCGATTTAATTCGCGCGAAAAGCATATGCTCACAGACTCAGTTCAGCCATATAATAAACCGATTATTGACCTCCCTTGTTCGGTCTGTACTGTGATCCATACCATGCCATACTACATACCATACAAAACTGTTGTGCTGAGTGATTATATTACTACCTTAAAAAATAAGCAGAAACTCGACGTTTCGAGCCGAAGGCCCTTCGTCAAGAGTTAAAACTGTACTACATACCATAAAAAACCTTGGTCTGATATTTCACACCTCACGCTCGGTCAATAACCCTTTAATATTTCTAAAATTCATATATAGTATAGTCGTCGCATGCAAATCGGCCATTTCTTCGTGTGAACCTCTTAGGTTTATAATTAAAACGGGGATTATTTTCATTATAAAACAACAAGTCAGCACTATTTAAAGTACGAAAATGTCGGCAAGTGAAAATGTCATTTAACTCTGCCTAACAGAAGCTCCAAAACTAAGGCGCTTTTTTACAATACTTCCAAACGTTTCTTATATATAAGAGGCCTACAAAAGATGCAAGAATAAAGTAAATGAGCTTATTAAAAAAACTAAGGAGGAATACTTTAAAACGAAGTTATCTAATGCAAATAATAGCAAAGAGAGTTGGCAGGCTATTAATGAGCTTTTAAACAAAAAGCCCAAAACTACCACCCATGTAACACAGCTAAATGTAGATGACCAAGTTATAATATGTGAATGTGTATTTTTAAGTATTTAGTCTAATCTTATTCGTTTTCTTAAACAAATACATGTAAAATTAGTTTTAATATCCTTGTAAACCTAACATATTTCAGCAGTGGAATTAGTTATATTCTGGAGCTGTAAGTTTTAGTGTCAAATAAACTATCAAACTATCAAACTCAAACATAACTGGAGACACAAATATTGCGGACTGTTTTAATCAGTATTTTTCATCCATCGGTTGTAAACTGTCGAAAAATGGCCAATATATTAATGTTGACCCTATGACATTTGTCACTCCTACGGAGAGTTCGTTTCACTTTTCATGTATTTCAGTCCAGGATACTTTTGACGCTTTAAACCCACTTAATTCAAGGAAATCACCAGGACTGGACGGCATAAGTGTAAAACTATTAAAAGATACAAGCGATGTTATCGCGCAACCATTAGCCAACATCTTTAATCTATCTCTTCAGACTACAATTTTTCCGGACGAGTGGAAAATCGCCAAGGTATCACCAGTCTTTAAAGAAGGGAATAAAACTGATTGCGGAAATTATAGACCAATCTCTGTAATTTCTGTGGTTGCTAAGCTGTTTGAAGGGCTAGTGTACAATCAATTGAGAACGTTTATTGCCGACAATAGCATTCTTGTAGAGCAACAGTCCGGTTTTCGTTCACAACACTCTACTGAGACGGCACTCTTAGGTTCGACAAATGAGTGGTTATATAACATGGACTGTGGCTTAATCAATGGAGTCCTGTTCTTGGACTTGAAAAAAGCTTTTGACACTGTCGACCATGAAATCTTATTAAAGAAACTTCACCTATACGGCATAAAAGGAACTACTTACGCATGGTTTGAATCTTACATCCAAAATAGAAAATCGATTTGTTTAATGAATGGGAAAAAATCACATGCTAGAGAAATTAGGTGTGGGGTACCACAAAGTTCTAACCTTGGCCCCATCCTACTCCTCTTGTACAGGGTGTCTCAAAAAAACCCAAAATCATTGAAATAACGTATTGTTCGAATTTCAATGCCGTAACACAAAGGATTTTGACAGGGTGATTAATTTGTTTTAAAAAATTAAAATATCTTTGTAAAGTGAACGTTTGTTTGCTCATGGGAATTTAAAAATGCTTCGTAAATTGTAATATGCGTAATATGCATTCGTGGGTTTAGTACTTTATGCCTGACATAACAAGTTTACGCTGAGTATTACCATTCATTATAGCAGTTATGTCAATCTTTTATGCACTCGTGGGATTAACTTAGTGCTAGGGCATTGAATATCGAACAATACGTCAATTTCAATGATTTTGGTTTTTTTTGAGACACCCTGTATATTAACGATCTACCTAAGTGTCTAGAAACAACCAAGGCCAACTTGTTTGCTGATGACACAAATCTTTCGTGTGCCGGCTTAGATGCCAATGAAATCGAGACTAAACTTAAAAGAGATCTTGAGAATGTTCATAGTTGGCTTAGATGTAACAAACTCACGCTAAACGATAGCAAAACGGAATTTATGATAATTGGCTCTAGACATCATCTTACTAAATTTGAAGACAACCCAGAGATTTCATTAGCCATACGAGATAATAATATTAAACAGGTCACCAACAAAAAATCTCTTGGTTTTATCATCGATGATCAATTAAAGTGGGGTATACACATTGACGCACAATGTAAAAAAATCTCAAAAAATATTGCATTACTAAGAAGAGCCAAGTCCTTGTTCCTTTACACATTCTAATCAAAATGTATAATGCTCTAGTATCTCCTCACCTGACATATTGCTCAACAATATGGAATGATGGGTCTAATACCATTCTTAACAAACTCTCTAAGTTACAAAGAAGAGCAGCTCGGGTTATCACAGGGCAATCATACGATGTTCGTTCCACTCAAATACTAGAAAGTCTCAATTGGATGCTAATTGAAGACATTTTAAAGAAAAGAGAAATCATTATGACGTTTAAAGGTTTAACTAACAGACTACCTGATTATGTACAGAATTTCTTCACGAGATGCGAAAATAGTAATTATTCTCTAAGAAGCAATAATGTTAAGCTATCGTTGCCTAAACCAAGAACTAACTTTCTTAAAAGAAGTTTCTCTTATAGAGCAGCACAAGGGTGGAACGAATTATCGGATGAAGTAACTAATAACATTCAGGATTTATCTTTACCCGATTTCAAACGGCGTTTAACCCTTAAGCTTGCACATGAATAATGTATAATGCATTTCCGAAATTAATGGAGTGTGTAATAATTATGTGCTGTAATTAACTGTAAATATCCATAGTTAATGTGTGTTTAATACTATATAGCACGGCCCTTTGAAAAACAGACTGTATATATTATACTGAATAGGCTACCGTGTTAAAAGAAATTTTATTAAAGATTAAAGATTAAAGACGCCGTATAGCCATCATACATACGTAATGAATCATTTGAATGCTGATTAAAAAATTCCATTGCTAAAAATTCGAACAGGTGAAAACATATTCATTTAACAGATCTAAGGCTGGTATACTTTAATTTAGGGTATTATAATTAGTTGCGGTAGCAATCATGCGTTTATAAAATGCTCCGCGGTCCGCCGTCCGCGGTCCGCCGTCCGCGGTCCGCGGTCCGCCGTCCGTCCGCCTTTTATCTACACCCTGTTTTGGAAGCATTATTCCTTTTATCACGTCATAGTGTCATTACTTGTTTATGAACATTTAAAAAGGTGATAAAAGGAATAATGCTTCCAAAACAAGATCACGATCGCGTATATTTTAACCATAGAAATAATAGATATATGGAATGCGTTATAGTCCGGCAGATGGAAGCCGAAAATAAGCGAATACTTACGGTTGTTTGGGACAATTCGTTTTTGGTGTAGAATTGAAGCTTGAAACATGCCGAATGCAAATTTGATTGTTGGATTGTCTGAAATTTCTTGAGAAACGATTCCAACACGATTCTTTGCTGGCTTTTCCCCCTCTTCGAGTTGTAAACAAATTTTCGAAAAATTAATGCGCCCGCGCTATTTTGTCAGCACAAGCTTGAAACGTCATGTAAGAGGAAACGGGAAGAGATGCAATTAAGAGCTGTTATTTTCACAATTATTTTCAAAATACTTTTTTTTAGTATTTTATTGTTTTTGCTTATTACTTTCAAGCTTTAAGTAGCTGTTGCCCCGGCATTAACAAGTTCTGCACACACTTATTTAAACAACAGCTGATATA